GGTCCATTCTGGGTCGGTCACCAGGACTAGAGGTTTTAGTCTTCTGAGCTTTTGGACTTGTGCTGGAGGCCCCATCTGCGGGGAACTTCTCTCAACCGGAATGTAAAGAGGAGTTTCCTGAGGATGGGCTCCAGCACGAGTCCAAAAGCTTGGAAGACTAAAACCTCTGGTCCTGGTGACTGACCCAGATTCGATCCTGCAAGTCGAAATAAATAAAATTGGGGTGGACCCTAACTGTGTATGTAATTACACTTTTTCTTGCTGTAATTATCTCCATTATAAAGAGTTTTTAAGAGAGCAGCTAACAGTGAAATTGTTGGACTTAACTATTGTTCAATTATTTGCTTTTTCATCTAAAGTTGAATATAACATTGAAAAAAAACTGTGATGTGCATGAAAGGATTTGTTATATAATAAAGGTTTTTGCCTTGCTGATTATTTAATATCAAAATCTCCATTGTATTGTTAATGTGTGTCAGTGTCATGTTAATGAAAGGAAAAATAGATGTGCAGAGCATATATAGGAAGAATTAAAATAACAAAAAGTAGAAAAGAAAACATCCCAGAGAATAATAAAAAACCCATTGGGTTTCTTATTTCTTCCTTTTTATACACCTGCTATTTTCCCTTACAGGTACATCTCCATTAGTGCAATTAATGAATCACAGGAAATGATTGTATTATTTGAATTTGTACTATATGAAATGATATTTCTGTGGTGAAAAATATGATAATTGATTCAACCTCGATGAAAATAGGCAATGAAAAATTTTAAACGTAAATTTTATATGTATATAAAATATTGCCGTAAAGGACAAAAAGAATATATTGTAAATTTATGCTGAACAATGTCACAGAGTATTATAGAAAGCAAATATTTTTAAAAAACATTAGAGTTAGACATTCAATATCATTGATGAAATGAAATTCAATGGTGAAAAAAGTAAGGTTCTACATTTAGGCAAGAAAAACCAAATGCACAGGTATAGTATAGGGGGCACCTTGCTTAAAAGTAGTAACTGTGAGAGGGATCTCAGAGTCCTAGTGGACAATCACTTAAATATGAGCCAGCAGTGTGCTGAAGCTGCCAAAAAAGCCAACACAGTGCTGGGCTGCATTAACAGAGGGATAGAATCAAGATCAGGTGAAGTGTTAATAGCACTTTACTATGCCTTGGTAAGGCCACACTTGGAATACTGCATCCAGTTTTGGTCACTACGATGTAAAAAAAGATGTTGAAACTCTAAAAAGAGTACAGAGAAGAGCAACAAAGATGATTAGGGGACTGGAGTCTGAAACATATATGGACCGGTTGCTGGAATTGGTTATGTCACTCTAGTTTAATGAAGAGAAGGATGAGGGGTGACATGATAGCAGTGTTCAATATATCAGGGGTTGCCCCAGAGAAGAGGGAGTCAAGCTATTCTCCAAAGCACCTGAAAGCAGGACAAGAAGCAATGGATGGAAACTAATCAAAGAGAGAAGCAACCTAGAACTAAGGAGAAATTTTGTGACAGATAGAGAACAATTAATGACAGCCATTTATCTGAAATGTTACAGGGTTTCCTGTCTGAGCAGGGGGTTGGACTAGAAGACCTCCAAGGTCCCGTCCAACTTTTTTATTATTATTATTATTATTATTATTATTATTATTATTATTATTATTATTATTATTATTATTATTATTATTATTATTATTATTATTATTATTATTATTATTATTATTATTATTATTATTATT